CGCAAAGCTCTAAGCGCGCCAGAGAGACAACCTTACGGGGGGAGACTCTCGACTTAGAACTAATGAGGCTAATCGAATTTCTACCATTATTCTGAACGTGGAAATATACAACGCCCCCGTAAGCCTTCTCGCTGGCGTCTGCAAACCCAACGACCGTTATGACGCTATTTCTATCTACGTTTATATGACGCGGTATTTTAATTTCTCTTAGTAAAGGAAGTTCCTCTCTAAAGCGCTGCCACAAACGAACAATGCTGTCAGGCGGCGAGTCATCCCAATCGCATTCAAATAACCAAAGTTGTTTAATCAAAAGCTTAGCGTATAATACCACCGGAGCTACGAAACCCATGACATCCCATAATCTAGCAACGCATGACAGTATTGTGCGCTTTGTGCATTTCTCTACGGGCGGATTTACCTTAAGGCTAAACACGTCGGACTCTGGTGACCAACACAGACCGAGCACCTTGTGTGTATCAGAATCGTCGAATTCCTTTATCGCCGAAAGACGGTGTGATAGTGGGATTGTATCTAAAACCGGACGCGAATTACTAGTCCACTTCACAAGATCGAATTGACCCGATTTCATGAGCCTTATAACCTCGGCGGTGGTTAGGGTGGCCTCCTCCACGCTATCGACCGAGTACACAAAATCATCCATATATAATCCGCTCTCAATTGCCCTCTTAGCTTTAGGGTAAGAGGGACCTTCATCGTGGGCGAGCTGTTTCACCGTGCGTAACGCATGAAATGGGCTCGACTTTAAACCAAAACAAACGCGGTTAAATTCAAACACCATTAGAGGATCCTTTGGGTCGAAACGATATAAAATGCGTTGGAATCTACGGTCGCATTCACGGACCCCTATGCAAAGAAACATTTGGCGAATATCGGCGGATAGTGCTATACTAAACAAACGAAAATTGGCTATTATATTAAATAAACTGCCCTGTAAATTTTGCCCTTTATAGAGGATATCGTTAAGCGACAGGTGAGTGCTAGTTTTAGCACTAGCGTCGAGCACTACACGTAACTTAGATGTAAATTTGTCCTCCCTAATGACCCCGTGGTGTGGTATGAAATACGACGGTGTGTCTTCGTAGTTATCTAATTTCGAAGCCACAAGTGATATGTAACCTTCTCTTATATATTCGTTAATGACGCCGTCATAAGCTTCCTTTAACTGGGGTGAAGCGAGCATCCTACGCTCCAAGCTGTAGAAACGTTTTTCCGCCATTTGACGCGAATCGCCGAGAGATAAAACATCTCCCTTAAAGGGTAGCGCTACACTATATCTACCGTCGTGATCACGAACGGTCGTGCGGACGTAAATTTCCTCGCATAACCTGTCATCTGAGCTAGCTATGGGTGGGACGTTCACCTCCTCCATCTCCCAAAATTTGCGGACTAACGACTCGAGCGGTTCGACAGCCATACCACAATAAGAGGTTGCCGAAATACTATCTATGATGGGGGCGGAGCCAATGATAACATAGCCCAATACGGTTTCTAGTGCGTAAGGCGTGGTATACGAGGAGTTGCCCCTGACCTTATTGTTTAACAAAAGATGAGGGAAAAGCGATGCTCCGATGAGCATGTCTATGTTTCCAGGAACGGCGTAAGTGTCGTCTGCTAGAATGAAATTTTTAAATTCAATCATTGCCGAGGTGTCAACCGAAACGGTTGGCAACCGTTCAGTGACCCTATCTACTACTAGTGCATTTATATCAAAGTTAACATTGCGATCTATCCGAGAATAAAATTTTAAATTAATATATCCCTGGGTAGCTTTACTAGTACCTCCGATGCCTTTAACTACAGGACATGAAAGTGACCTATTTATTACTAAGCCTAAGCGCTGACAACATTGTCGTGTTATAAAGCTATTTTGGGCTCCGCTGTCCAGCAGTGCACGGACGCTTTGTTCGTTTCCACGCGAATCCCTAACCAAAATACGCGCCGTACCCAGTAACACGGTTGAAGGAGGTTGTGCTCCCATATTTGTCAATGAGCACAGAGCGACATCACCAGGTCGACCGCTAGAATCGTTGACCTTAGTAGGGGTGAATTCCTTGTCCGCTTTACTTGACGCCGCTATGTTGCTATTTTCAAAATGTAATAGCGTGTGATGTTTCCTGGCGCACTTGCTACATACGGAACTCGAATTGCATTTTGCAACTAAATGCTTATCGCTTAAGCAGTTCAAACATAGGTTGTTTGTCTTTACCAATTTATAACGTTCGCTTGGTGAATATTTACGAAAAGTCGCACAATTATATAAATTACCGTGTTTATCTTTACATACGATACAAGTATGCTGAAGTGATGTTTACGTCGCGGTTATGTAAGTTAACGACCCTGCTATTTTAGATGGTTGAGTCTGTCTACGGTCGACGCACCTTTTAATCTCCTGTTTAACGTGCGGAGAGCGCTGCATCACCTTTATTTGATCTCGCACGAACGATGCTAATGAATGAAAGGAAGGCATCTCCGAGCTACGATGCTCCATTTCAAACGCACGCACGGTGTCGGAGTCTAATTTCTTTAGTGCAATATGGAGAAACACCACGTCCATAAGGTCATTAAATTTTAAATTCTTAAGTGCAGCCACCGATGCCACAAATTTATCTAGAAACTGCTCTAAGCCGTTGATGTTCGCGGATGATATAGGTTTAAGATCGAAAATCTGGTTCAAATATTCGGAAGCTAACATTCTCCTATCTTCATATTTAGTTTTAAGCGTTTCGAATATTAATAAGTAATTGTTTGCTGTAGGTGTAAACCCAGAGCAGATCGACTGTGCCCTGCCACTAAGTTTACTAATTAAGTTATATAATTTTTCAGCGTCCGATAACGATGGGTTATTGTGTATATTGTTTTGAAAACTACTGAAGAAGAAGGGCCACGTCTTAATATCACCATTGAATACCGGAATATCTATTGGCGGCAACCTAATTGAGTCACGAGGACGTACCTGCAATTCCGGCTTTGCTTCGTTTTGAGATTGTAGGAGTTTTGCCGTTCTTTTCACGCGACACAACATATCTTCGAATGCCAGCAGCGGTTGGTAGTTCACTATGTATTTCGGGTCGATTTGTAATTCCAAATGATTAATTTGGTCTAATATTCTTTCGTAATCCGTCCGCAAAGAATCCACCGTTTCAATTTCATTCAGAAAAGTTTCCCGCACCGCTTCTACATTAATGTTCTTTATATGATCGCTAATGTTTTGTATACGTGAAAAAAAGTACGTCCCTCTTGGCATAAATCGTTTTAATTTTAAATTCACTTCCACTAACTGCCATTTTAAATTATTATAACAAAGCTATTAATCACAATTAATCTCACACGCACAAACGATGGACGATAGACGCTCGGTATGCCGTATTACGTAATTAAATCGAACACCTGCTACAGTCGAGGCGACACGTTGCTTGCTAACTCAATGTTTTTATAAAGATTGTCGGGTAATCGTACCAAACGGTTGCTATCACACTGTTTCAATTTTAAACCTTAAATTTAACCAAATACGAGCGCTATGAAATAAACAATTCTGTTTGCGAGTACCTAATCAAAATTTAAACGAACACTATTTACGAACACTAATTATTCGACCAGAAAATGGTTGGATAACCACTAAACACCAATCCAAATCCTGCCCGAAGTGACCATAAAATGGTGGAGCCACGTGTTTAAGGCTGCCGAAGTCTAGTTCCCCGGTCGAACCTTAAACCTATTGCGCGAAATATTAATCTAAATGGACTGTATCTAATAATGCTTCTACACTTATATATGCGGTACAATGCACTCGCTCTTCCCAAAAAAACGAACTATTATGCCAAACCGATGAAGGGAATCCTGCTTGATTGGGAAAACACAAAATTGGAGCGGGTTAAATCACTTATATCAAGCAGGTTATAATATTGGATATTGACTCACCGGGATGTTTCTTCTATGCTGTCGAGCACTATAACTGCGACTTCTGGAACACTCCGGAGAGAGGCGGTGCGCGACTATATCTCACACGAGGTGAGGCGGGTTTCCCTGGAGCTCGACTGCTTCCAGGCTAAAGCGGTTTCTAGTAGATGTGTTTCCAACAACGAGCGCGGCGGGAAGAGGCCACGCGTCGGTCGCGCGTGTCTTATATATCCTCGGTTCCGATGATTACGTGATGTTCTAGAATCATGTTCTTTCCCCTCCCACCCCACCACCCCGATGTGTCGATAGGAGGGTACGAATGATATCGTTTTGGAAAGGGATAACCGATTTGGCAGCCTACCGTCAAATAAAATAAAATACGAATGGTTTTCCGCGCAACCAGAAACCTTGAAATGAAATTAAATATAAAATACAAATACTTTATTTGTTTAATTGATGATTTATTTGATTTATTTAATTTTATAATTTAAACTACAAGTTTGGCATAAAATATAAGAAAATTTTAATTTAATGGTAAATAAATGAAGGAAGAGGAAGGAATACACTCTCATAGGCTACCAGCGAAAAATATAAAAGTACCGGAATATATATAGAACCGGATATCCGTTTTACTGGAAACATTTCTGGTATGCTATCTTAGTTCACAGGGCGACAACGCAATTACATTTTGATTCTTAAACAAGAATAGATGTAGTCTAAGGGTCATGGAATGTGGACTGTGTGATCGTGTGCCATTCTTATTCTAATAATTGCTCTCGCAGCATATTATTGTGAGAGGGGCGTCCATATATATATATATATATATATATATATATATATATATATATATATATATATATATATATATATATATATATATATATATATATATTTTATTCATCGGGATTTATTTTGTTTGTACAAAGTACAAAATGTTATCAGATTCACTGAATATGCATTATTGAAACATTAATATTATGTTAATATTAATATTGTAACAATAAATTTCGTGAGTTGCCGGAGCTGGAGTTGAAGTCTGGTGATCAATGAACACCTTCCAAGCTGGGTTTGTTTGCGATTAGATGGAGCGGCTAGTGGTGCCGGACGCACGGCAGGAGTTCACGCCCACGGTGCGTCGCCGCAAGCGCTCTTCCTCGCCGCGCGCCGCCCGCAGGACCAGGTGAACAACCACTTACCAAATACTATACAAATATAAGAATTCTGCCAGGAAGATAACCTCGAGCTCATTTCATTGCTAATGGTAATGGACTCATACTGTCGTCAGTGTCAAGTAATAAGAAATTATCCTTTACAACAGTTTGTTTTAAAAAATCTTCACAATACCAGGGGAGGTCAATAAGGTCGCGGAATGAAAGTGAAAGGAGGTGAAATTAAACATGAAATTATTTCTCCTTTTCGACATTTTTTCCATTAACCCTAATATACACTTCTCAGACCGTCCAAATAACATATACCTACAAAAAATGTTTTGTCAAGACCCTCAAAATAGGCAGAAATTGTCGAATTAACTTCCACGCCATCTGTAAATTTTTTCCTAAGGAAGATACCAAATCTGGACTCTATTAGGGTGGATGGTTCCCTCAGAATCCTAACTGAAGCCATAATCTTTCCACCTGATTGTGACACTGAACTTCTTAGGGACCTTAGGAAATAAGGAAGGAGGGGATAAAAAAATCTACATGTCCTTTTCTTGAGAAGGGAGGGGAGGAAATGGTAGAATTAGAAATTATATTTATTTTCTCATCACAAACAGGTACAGAATCATTGATGACAGACATATTAAACTATAAACGTGTTGAACCCTAGTTTGTGAGAGACTGGTGCTTAATAAAGGTATTAAACAATACCTCTTTTATAGGTCATCAGGTCCTTCGTCACGGATTGTACATCTTAAATTACACGTTTGTATAGTTCTATTGAAGACATCATTATTTTCATTTAATTGGTTATGAGAAAATCGACATTTAGTAAATTGAAGGATAATATAATAAAGCCAATTAATTAAATTATACAGATACATATTTTGGATTAAAGTACGTAATAATATTATAATTATATATAATGTGCGTGATATTATAGTTGAGGATGTAAGAAACTTTCAGTGGATTATAGTCAACCGAATCTAAGAAATACATTTTGACAGCTGTCAGATTTATTGCACCAAGCATGCCAACCAAAAAATGGGAACGTAAAATATTCGATTCTTAAAAAATCGATATCGATTATTTAGAGTTGGTAATAATTTACAGTTTGGTTTGAATAATACCAGAATAAATTAAAAACGGATAATTTAAAACACAAGATTTATCAGTTTCTTCGTATTTGTTGTTACTGTTTATTTATGATATAAAAACTTAAGATTGAAACTAGATTCAAAATAAATTTATTCAATCGCTCTCAGTACAACTAGTAGGGATGTCGTTGTTTATATTAATTATTAGATTTTATTTGATTTTCAATAATGCAGTCAAAATTAATGTCTCTTTCAAAGTTATTCATAATCAATTTTTTTGTTTTTTCTACCACTTTTGCTCAATCATCCTTTGTGACATTGGCAAATACTTCAACGGATTTTTTTTATAGCATTGGGTGACAAACGAGCACACAGTCCACCTCATGGTAAGTGGATGCTATGGCCCATAGATATACACATTTATCCTCAATTAATAATCAAAATGCCAACGCGTTGTCACCTCTGAGGACTAAGATGCAATGCCTCGATTCCAGTAAAAAGGGCCTCCGGTTCTCTACACTCACCATATGAAACACATCAGCATTACGCTGGTGTGTTTCAGTATGGTGAGCGTGGGCCGACTCATTCGTGCTACAACTATAATATAGATGTAGCGTGGCTCTACCACGTACAAAAAGTTATTATAGAAGAAACAGTCCAAAAAGTTAAAGCCGAGTACAAAATAAGAAGGCAAACAGAAAATCACAAAATTACGCACAGTAAGCTCTCGAAACAGAAACTTTTTATTCAATATAGATAATGAATAATACTTATTGAAAGTCACTTTTTTAATTTACCACTGGCAAGAAACCCAACGGGACAAGTTTTTTTTAAAATAAGAGCTTACAATCATGCGTGTTACAATTAACAACACAAAACAAATTAGAAATAGGTTGGTAGCGATCACCCTTCCCAGGGGTTATTATCATCCATAAATTTCTTAACATTATAATAACCCTTTTTATACAAACTTAGTTTAATAAAGTTTTTGAACTATGTATACTTACGTCAATTTTGTATATATTCTGGCATTTTGTTATAAAAGCGTATACTTACATCGCCTCAAAAATGAATTACTGGTTCTGTGGAGTCGAGTAACAGATATCGAAATGGCGGGATATTGAAATTATGTAGTGGTTATTTTAGCACGGCCTTGTATATGAGTTTTTTGCCTACAAAAATTTACTTTGACAAAGTGAAAAAAAATAAACTTGTTTTATTCATGATTCATGTAATTTAAGGAATTTTGAAAATAAAAATTAAACAAATAATTCATTTAAGAAATTAATGATTCGATTATTAGAATATTTTTACCGATTATTTAATTATTTTGCCGATTATTCGCATAACAATTAATTTTAATCATCCAAACACTACGGTAATATACATAGCGACATGTCATTGAAACGACGTCAAGTAAAACAAGTTATTACTGGTTATTTTTTAATATTTTGCTTTGTTTGAAAAATTCAAATTTAAATTAGTGATAAAAAACTATACACGTTGCAATGAAATATAGATAACTTCATAATTCTTCGGATTCACGTAAAAGGTTATTTTAAATAGTGTGAGTACGCTTGTGCAAAGTTATTGCGGAATGATTAATGTGAAACGTCAAAAGGTATTTCTTAGATTTGGTTGACTATAGTATGTTAAAGATTTGAGCCAGTTTATTTTGTTTTTTCTACACTCGTGTTCAGGAAGAGGATATATAGATAACAGCCTATATATTTTATATGTATATGTAAATACTGAGGTAGGTGTAGTGTCTCTTGGCTAACTGGATTTAACCGTCGTTGAAGGACATACTTTGTACTTTGTCCTTTTAGTAGTGCTGAGATTCAGATCGTAATTCACTTGGGAATACTTTCTGGTTATTGTTTTTAGAATAAATATTTGTACCTGTACAGTTCCGACGTAGCATATCTATAAGGGAGTTTAGCTGCAGTTTTGAGGATTGCTCGTTGAGCTTTCTCAGCTTCAATAAGATGAGCTTTGGTTGCACCACCTCACACTGTGATGCAATAGCTTATTATAGATTGACTAAGAGCGTAATAAATAAATTTGATAGTAGAACAATCAGCTATGTGTCAGAGGGATTTAAAAATATAAATTAGTTTTCTCCGTCTAGATACCAGGGAATCGATGTGTAACTTGAAGGTGAGAGTAGAATCGACAATGACTCCTAGGTATTTAATAGATTCAACTCTTTCCAGCGTCTTATTGATTATTTGAGATTAATTTCATTGAGCTTAGAAAAGCAATAAGTCTCTTGCTTAGGATTTTCTCCAGGATCTTAGATAAAAGTAAGTAGTATTGATATAGGTCCATAGTTGTTAACGCAGTCACTGTCACCTCCACAATCTCTCGATTACGATTACGATTCGAGATCTTTAGAGGTCTAGGGAAGGTCCCGGTTTCGAGGGCAGCATTACAAATGTGGGTTATTGGTGGTTTCAACAAATCACTGTATTGCTTAGGCAACCGGGAATTAAGTCAATGCCTGCAGCACAATCGCCCTTTAGTCCCATTATTTTGTCAACCTCATCTTCATCTGTAGGTAGCAGACAAAGTGAATTGCTCATATAAGAGTTGGTGAGAAGTGGTTTCGGAGAGCCATAATTAAGTTTAAGGTCCTCAGCTAATTTATTCCCAACTCCAGAAAAAAACTCGTTAATCAAGTTTGCAGTAGCAGTTGGATGTTTTTGGTAGGGTGGATTGGGTAACATGTCTTTTTTCTTGGTGTATGTCACATTTCTTATTAAATCCCAGAGTTTCTTTTTGTTTGTTCCTGCCTGTTGTATAAGGGACTTTTCATAACTTCGTTTTGCTTTTTTAAGAAGTGCATTACAGAAGTTTCTGTAATTTATGTAAGTTTTTATGAGGGTATTGTTATTCGGGGTTTTTTTCTTTTTTTTTTTGTGTAGGTTGTCACGGTTTCTCATATAACGCAGAATACGTTTTGTAGTCCCACCTGATCTAGACGTTTTAGTGTGATTCGGTAGTTTTCATTGAGGTCTGACTTCAAACATATGTTAAGGGCTACTCCATCATGATCAGTAATTGAGGTTTCGATGATGTAACAGTGGGATCTCAACTTGGTTTTAATCATCACGTGATCCAAGCAAGTACGTCCATGAGTGGGTATTGTGTAGGCGGGTGGAACACTATTATTAGGTAATATACTATATACTAATTCATGACGCCTTTTATCAGTAGAGTTTGGCATGATATCTATGTTTATATCGCCTACAATTATTATATTTTTAAAGTCGATCAAGAGAGATCATGAAGTTGTCTGTATGAGAGTAACTGTGAGGGTATAGAGTATGTTTATGCGTCCATCGTCAGTAGTTATCGTATTTAAATAATATAGTGAGGGGTGGAGCAGTTTTGTAGTTAGTGTGAGGTGATAGATGCTACTGGCAGAGTATTGTTTCATACACGATTTAGTGAAAATAACACAATAAATACAATATAACATAAGCTTATATAAATAGTATTGGAAATAGTGGGGTGTAATAGGCGTGTAGCTTTAAGTGTTTTTGTGTAATATATAACATGGCATGAGTAAAGGTATTTTAATTTTAAAATGTAATGAATTATATAATATGAGTGTATCTAATTTGTAATGTGATAGTTAGTATTTGGCATTGTTTAACAAAAATTTAATAAGAGAAAAAATAATGTGTCATAAAAAGACATAAAAATGAAAACCGCTTATAAAAAAATCGAATGAAGGTCTGATTCCTCTTTCAGGTCCTGGTATATTAATAATTTGAGTATTGAGTAGTGGCTCTTTTTTTGTTCTTTTCAACTTATTAAATTCCCTATATTTTGAAATGAAGTTTACTTTCCGTGTGGTAGTTGTGAAATCAACCATAATTGCGCTTGTTTTGGCTCTAAAGACATCACGAACTTCCAAATCTTGAAGTAAAGGATTCGAATCGACAGTCTGGCATATATTTTTAATAGAGGTGGTCAAGTTCTTTTTGTTTTCTTGTTCCAGGATTAGTATGTTCCGTATTTCCACAGATGTGGATATTAGGCCCTTCTCCAGTACATCTAAAACTTTTAAGAAAAACCTAATGATTTTTTTCTTCATTCTATATTGTACACAGGTGCCAACACGTGCCAAAAAAGTTCCGTCTACCAATGCATAATTAACCTACCAATACTTGCCGATTGGAATACATGACTTACTAACCCATTCAATCTAGACGACGATTGATGATCTGAATTGATCTAGCTTTTACTGTGTAATTTTTTTAAGATTAATTTAAAAGTAGTCGATGATTATTTAAAAAGGAAGTATTATTAGTTGGTACATTGTTTAACTGATGTTTGCTCACTAAGATTAAAAACTTACTTTTAATTATAATAATGATTGGTATTCCAAAGACTAGATTCTATCTCAACTAGTCTAATAATAATAATGTCCTCCAGACCGAATTTCGGCCACGGCGGCCTGCCTCAACGGAGGCTAGCCATCGGCGCAGGACAGGATTATAGTGCCCAAGTGTATGCGCAAGTATAGGTGCACTCTCTATTCCCTCACTCTCATAATCCGATGGGACGGTAAACCAACACGACCGGAGAGTGATCAGGCGCGGGACCAACCGGCTTTACGTGCTTTCCGAGGCACGGGGGTGAGACACCGCCAACTTCCTCACTCCGGGCAGCTACTGAGAATTTCTTGACAGAAAAACTCAATAATTGATTTTTTTGGCCCGATCCGGGATTCGAACCCAGGACCTCATGATCAGCAGTCGCACTAGACCAACGAGGCAGTCAAATAATAATAGTCTAATAATAATATAATGGTAATCTATATCTCATAGCAATAAAATAGTACAAGCTAAATTATCTGTCGAAAAATCATTTTTACGTAATTAATGAATGGCCCTTACATTGACGGTGCTGTGTCTCTTTTATTCCATTGCATTGATTCAGGTTCATCTGTCATTCTGTCATCAATGATGAATCTAAGTTTCATACCCAGTCACAATTAGGTTCATAATTTCGTCCCTGTTCCCACTACACTGACCTCTAACATGCCGAGAAGTTCATGGCATATGCTTGAAACGGCTTTATCCCCTCCATTCCGAGAACTTTTTGCCCGCCCTCGTATATTAATGTGTCACATTGCAAGGATTTATAATCAATGAAAATTGTATTATTATAGTGTTAACGGACGCGTCCTCAAAGTGCTCATCGCTAAGATGAGTCTTGGAGAAAGCGAGGGCATCAGCGATGTGTCACCCCTTAAACGGACGATGCGAGACCGGACGCCGCCTCGATTGTCCAAAAATAAGGCGCTTCTCCGACATTCATCACAAGATTCATCGCCCTCTACGCCGCCATTACAGGAGGGAGTGCTCTCTAAAAGATTGAAGGATAGCGTATCGTGTAGCCCGGGACCGACGCGGAATGACGAATCGCCATCTAAATCACGAAAGGAAGACGTGCTGGCCAAAATTGTGCGTTTCGACGCCCCCAGTCCAAATGGCTCCACCGACGCTCGTGTAATAGTATCGTAAGTTTATTTTAATTTTTTAATCTTAACCCTAAATTATTTAGCTCTAATTATGACCTTAAAACGGAGTCAAGTTGAACAAAAAAGGCAAAAATTTTCATTATTCAAATTAAATACAACTTTAAGAACTTTTTCTGAATATTTTATTATATGCTTTGCGCTGCTCGATCAGTTTTCGAATGTCAAAATGTGAAATCGATAGATATGCCTTTAAAATCAACAAATAAAACAATAATTAATGAATCTACCCTAGTCCTCAGGGGTGATAATGCATTAGAGCTTGATTCTTAACCGAGTAAGGTTACCTAGGATAGGTAACCTAGGATTGCCGTGCTGTCACATGCTATATGATAACGTTGTCTATGTAACCAAGATATTGTAGTTTCCTAGAGAGCGGTATTAGACACTGTAACGTCGAAAAATCTTACCGCCAATTTCGTGACGGCCATGTTGACGGTGCCGGATACTTCAACGAACGTTTTTTTCGATAGTGGTGACCCGTGACGATAAACAAAATGAGTTTCACCTCCAACTGGAGCAGCAAGGACTACGAATTTTTAATAGATTTGTGCGTAATCATGACGCTATTTACGGCATGATAAGTACGGAGTACAGGCAAACCCAGTTATAATGCCGCGGCATCACACGTCGCGATAACGCGAATATTCGAGTTATCGCGAAGTATGTAGCCACACCTTTGTAGCGGCGCTGTCGTCGCGCCACTAGCACACCGAAACACACCGAACCCTAAATCACGCTATCAACATTCCGAATCATAAACAGTATATATAGAACATCTCCGAACTATCACACGGAGTGTTGGCCGCTCCCCGGGCAGAACACCTTGCCCGGCGGGAGATCTCCCATTTTCCTTCCACGGCCAAACTGGTGACCCCGACGTGATCTGAACACGTAACCAAACAACCTTCGGAAACTTCAAGCTTCATCATCGTCATAGAATACCCCACCTATTCGCTCCCGAGCAGATATCGTCTGCAGTCGTCATATCCTGCAAGCCATCTAGCTTCACAAGGTTCATCGCAGCACTGGAATAATAATGCTTCCTGTTCCTTCAAGCTACTCTCTGCGCTACAGTGTTCAGCAAGGTTCTGAGTCTTACTGCTCGCCTCTGCTTCACGGCACTCTCGCAGATTACTTGCCTTCTTCTCGACTCACCGCAGACTACAAGGCAATCTCCTGGCACTTGCACATTCGTCGGCAACGAGGCTGCACTATCGACCTCCGGTCTGAGCAGGGGGGTGATGTAGCGGCGCTGTCGTCGCTGTCGCCACAAGCACGAAACACACCGAAGCCTAAATCGCGCTATCAACATTCCGAATCATAAACAGTGTATATAGACCATCTCCGAACTATCACACGGAGTGTTGGCCGCTCCCCGGGCAGAACACCTTGCCCGGCGGGAGATCGCCCATTTTCCTTCCACGGCCAAACCTTCGTGAATACTTCGTCACTTCGTGCGAAGGCGCAAGCACTTCGCTTCGCTGTCGGTTAAACTCTCGAACTTCAAAGCGTTCTATCGCGATGGATCTGGCGTGTGAGGCCACACTCCAGTCTGCCTACAGACATCGTGTGTAGTATGTGTTAAAACAAATTAGTATTTGCAACGTATTTTTTATTGACAATTTTTTGAAGCAATGAGAAGATGAATAATTTTATGAGATATTGGGTGCGTTTGGCAGAAAAAAGCGCTAGCAAGCGCTTACAAGAGCTAAAATAGTTTTCGGCCAGGACACGATTGCTACTTCAGTAGCGCTGACACAATCCGCTATTTTGCTTATTTAATTTGTTTGTTTTGAAGTAGAGTTTATAAGTTGTTTTTTGCAATATTAGTTTTAAGTAATATAATGACATGAATAGACATATACATGTTATTAAAAAATCATGATTGGTAAGTTTTTAATATGAATACTTTACAAAAATATATTTAAATTAGGTTAGGTTCCCCGGTTAAAACTAACATCGTGTCCTAGAGGAAAGTAGCTACTTACGATTTGACAGCGCTTACCGCTTACGATCGCCATTTTGCTTACAAGCGCTTGCTAGCGCTTTTTTCTGCCAAACGCACCCATTTTGAATAAATAATGCAAGCGTCTAAAGCTGTCCCACGTTGTCAAAATCCTAGTTAAAATAATTATTCATTGCCATATAATATAGAGCGACTTATATTGTCCTAGTAACTAATTTGTGACGTGAAAGGAAATGAAATCAAACGTGTATGCGCAATTCACTGAAGGTGTAATCTTAGAAAACCAGAGCTATAAAAAGCGAGGGACAATACAAAAATACTTTATTTCTTACTAGCCGGTACCCGGCCCGTTGCTACCACAGAAGAAACAATTGTGGAAATATCGTTTTGAATTTGGAAGAGTGGTATTGTTTATTTAGGAATAACAATACAATAATTGGAGTTGAACGAATACATAATTTTCTGGTAAAATTTGTCGGTATTATACGCGCGCCATCTGCTGTAATTTAATTGTATTGTGCCTATGACCTTCGCGCATGTGCCAGCAATAAATTGACAAAGTTCCTCTTGTTTTTTAAAACGTTAACCCTACACTAGGATTTTTCCCTGTATCGTGGGGGCTGTTTACAAACATAAATTGCACAAGGACAAACATCCAGACCCGGAACAATTAATTGTAGGCCATACAAATACTTGTTCCGTGCGGGATTTGAACCCGCGACCCCCAGCGCAGCCACTTATTGCTAAGCCACTGCGTCACGGAGTCATCGCAATCTTTTGAACGTTTTGAAGTTTTACCGCAATCTTTTGAACTGTATGGCAGCGCATAAAATACGAAAGAAACAAACAAACATTTTTATATATTAGACTTTACTTTTATAAAAAAATACAACTGTGTTTAATCTTTATTTTAAACAAATATGTAACTTTCAGAGAATCGAGAAACGATCCTTACGGGTCAGGTGAACCGTTGGATACTGAACGGGTCAGTTCTCGAGACAAGAAACGCGTTACCCGATGCGAGACTCCAGAATCTCGTGATACACAAGAATCCCGACGCCAAACGGAAAACGGGAGTCAGCGTCGTGATCAAGAGAGTCTTGTGGACTCGCGCGACAGTGACAGCTGTCGTGATGCGCGAGACAGCGACAGCAGTAGTGAACGCACTGAAGGAAGAGCCAGGAGGGCTAGAAAGCCTGTTACTTATAAGGAGAAACCCCTTAATAGGTATTACATATTATTTACTTTTACATACAATATGAAATACTTGGAAATCATCTCTGTGTTTATAATAGAGTTTTTCCTTCGATTCTTTCATCATCATCATGACTGCCCTTCACAAGTCCTCTGCTGAACATAGGCTTCCCCCAAGGAATGCCACAAAGCATGATCCAAAGCCACATGCATCTATAGACTTCCTGCATGACTTACCAGGTCGTCACTCCATCTTCTGGAGACCCATCAAACACTTCGCCTACCAGTATGAAGCTGCGACTTGAGAACCTTTCTTGACGATTCTTTATAGGAACAATATCAAATATATCTATCTTACTAAAATACAGGATGGACCATAGCATAACTTAAATAACTCTGATTATTGATGATGTCACTAAACAAAAATATACATAATGTATTGTTTTTCTGTCCACAGCTGAACAGGCCTGCCCTGTAGATTGCTTTAGAACTATGGAAATTACTCCCGGATTTGCCATAGTTGCCAACTAGACAAGCAGGTTGGCAACTGCAGTTTTTTTAATTTAGCTTATATCATTAAGATGCTGCTGCCTATCTCCTGCTTTAGTTTTCCTCTCTCGCCTTATACAATACCAATAGGATGATAGATGGTAGTGGGATATTCTTACATCATCATGATAATAACCTAAAATAAACTTTGTGGTGCCGATGTAAGAATATCATCTACCCCATAGGTATCGTAACAGACGAGAGAGAGAAACTAAACTAGGAGATGGGCAGTAACATCTTTCTGATAACAGCTAAATAAAAAACTGCGGTAGCCAACCCGCTTGCCAAGCGTGGCAACTGTGGCAAATATCCCAATGAGGTAGTCTATGGGAGGCCTATGTTCAGCAGTTTTCTTATGGAATAAGGGTGACAAACGAGCACACAGTCAACCTGATGGTAAGTGGTTGCTGTGGCCCATAGGCGTCTACATCTATCCTTGATTAAGAATCAAAATGCAGATGCGTTATCACCCGTGAGGACTAAGATGGAATGCCACATTTCCAGTAAAAAGGGTTTCCGGTTCTCTACACTTACTATACGAAACACAGCAGCATTAAGCTACTATTTTACTTTTTTACGCCACTACACACTACGTAATGTACTTTGTCAGTGGTGAAATTATTCTTCATATAAAAACTATACCTACACTAACCCACATACACCAACAGATCAGTAAGCTGAACTCGGCTGTATAGCCTGATAAACACACAACTGATGCGCAGCAATGTCCAAGATGTGAGACATCTGATACTGCAGTTGCCAATCCGCCCGCCAAGTGTGACGAAGCGGGAGGCCTCCGTGGCGCAATGGCTTGACATTGAGTTTCGGCGCTGAGAGCCGCGGGTTCGAATCCCGCACGGATCATGCATTTTATTTTATTTTATTTATATTAAGGCCTACAAATAATTGTTCCGGGTCTGGATGTTTGTCCTTGTGCAATTTATGTTTGTTAACTGCCTCCACGATACAGGAAAAAAAATTAATGTGGGGGTAACGTTTATTTTAAAATATGATTAAGGCAAATCCTACACACAACGAAATAAGCCCACGTCTGGTAGACTTTTGCGGGCCAATTTCTGAGAATTGTCCTAAACTATTACTTCCCATTTAAAACTAAGTACTATTACATTATCATAAAGCCTAATTTTATTTAATTACTCAAATGTTAATATTTTGAAATGAAGTCCTTACTTTTAGGCATGGACTTATTATATTACTGAGTATGGACCAGGTCATTGAACAAAAAAATGGCACAGACTTCTTTGGTTTGAAAATGTTTACATATCACCAACGCGAGCACCAATGCGTGGAGTGCGTCTGTAGTATTTCCACTTTTAGATGTAGGGGAGTAGGCTTTAGGCGTTTCTTCAAGTCTATAGGGTTTTGGATAATTTGGGGTAAAATCGAACTTCACGTAACCCCGTTTTTTATAACCACCAAATTTTTTGAAAGATTTATTAAAAAGGATAGGGTCAAAAAAGCAGAAAAGTATGTAAAGTGTGTATATCGGAGTAATGACATAATATTTTACTTAGTTATGTATCCGTTATTCATATACTGACTAAGTGTTTATATAATTTGAAAATGAGAACGTCTTCCTCATCACAAAACTCAAGATTTTTAATCATGAAATGATATTCAAATCTTTCTATACAGTTCTTTAAAATATTGAAAATTAGGTCCAATAAATAAGGCTATTTCGATTATCTTTACGATAATTTGGGAGTATTTCTACAGGTTCTAGGTCAAAACCAAAATCGTAAGTGAAAACACTATAGTCCGTTCGAGTTAAGAAAATAGTGAGTCATCAGTGCAACTACAGGGTAAAGGAGTATTCACAGTGGAGTAAAAATTCTGTTTTTTTTCAAACATTTAATTAAGTTTTCACATCATTCATCATTATTTGCCTCAGATATTTACGCCTCCATAAAACAATATCTTCTCTTTCGACTAACAATGTTCTGCTATCCTGTTTATTGAAATCGAAACCAAGCTCGTGTATTATTTTATGAAGTGTGGTACGTTTGAAAACTGGAATATCTTCGTCAGCTTCGCAGTGTCATAATTTTGTCCAATATCGGGTAGTCGTTATTTAAATATATTGAGTGAACTTTTCTCCTTATTGCACATTTGTCTATGTCTAGTTCATCTAATTTATCGACCGTCGATAGTCGAGCTCTTTCTTGCACGGGTAATTTTAATGTGTTAGTATCCTTTTGTTCTTTAATAATTTTATAAACAGTATTTTCGGACACACCACATGCACTTGCTATTTTTATTACTGTGCTCTCCAGCCAGTCGCATTTAAATCACACAGTTTAAAGTACTTATAAACATTGTAAATTACGCGTCTTCATTTTCAAAATTTAATGTTGAACGAGTAACACGCAAATATACACAACCGTTTTGTTCGAAGGCTTGACTTCAACTGGTCACTGTGAACTCGACTTTCTAATTTCTTGCATTTTAATTAGCTTGGGGGCGTGGCCAGGCCGGTGGACAACGATGACTCACTATTTTCTTAACGCGAACGGACTATAGTGCCGTGATAGTTCATGAGTATTTAAAATATGACGCTGATTTATTCTATGCTTAAACCGTGAAAAATTTTTGTTCGCATGACCATATCTTGTCATTTATATCGATGCTTTTAGGGCATTGATTCACGTTTTGTTTTTTCTTTTTCAGAAAATTACGGAGGTGATTTATCTGAAGTTAAGGTCTGCAACCGATGGATATTAATATTTTTTAAATGTAATCTGTATTATGATATAATAAAAAATGAAAACGTATTTAGATAAAGTATGAAATTGTATTAAAATAAAATAAATTCTATATTACGAATTTTCCGAATAAACTTCTACTTCGTTTTGCTGAATTCGGCTCTTCGAAGTTCAAAAGTATTTTTGACTGCAGCGCTTACTCTAGTAAGTGTCTTGAATCACTGAAAGAAGTTCTATTCATTCATTTATTACATCTTAAGTCCACTGCTAAACATAGGCTAATCATATCCCATAGATTGCCTCATAAGGATTTGCCTCATAAGGATTTATTAAAGATGTAATTGCTTGTAAATTCATGAATTTAAGAGATTTCATACTCAACAATATGTTTTATAAGACTGATAGGTAAACTTTACTATATTTTGTCCATTTTTCTTTCTAATAACGATTTACCCCGGACTACCTTTTTATTTATTTACTGAACTCTTACTAAGCGACAATACTTCATATTTTACAATGTAATTATGTTAATGAAAGTAGATTCATATTGTATATATTGTTATCTCATAATCAGGTTAATTTGAGAACAAATTTTGATGTTGAATTTTATTTTAATTTGACTCTTAAATTGGCAGGCAAAAAAATCTTGAAAGTATGAATTTCTTGAATAGTACTGAAATTTAGATGGATAAATGAGTTCTAGAAAATATTTAAAAAATCTGTATTTATTACTTTAAAAAAAAGTATATGACCTAGTATACACTGCCAACTGTGTAAAAACGTAACCAATAATATTGATATATATTGTAGTATACTTTGCCAATATACGAGAATAATAAATACGTTAAAATAAAACTAAATTAAGAAAAAAATCGCATTTTAATTACATAATGGAATAATAAAAAAAATTATAAATTTTTGGTATGAAAATAAAGTTGACAATTTCCCGGGCTCTTGCCACTAACAAAACACAACCGCACCTGACAATACAAATAACTGAGGTCAATTTTGAACACACGGCATCGTCCCTGACTAGTCATCTGCATGAAATGGCCTATATTGTCATATCTCACATCCAGGATGTGAGATATGACAATATCGGTGCAACTATCGTAGACTGTCTCTTTTTTTTACCTTCTCCGTTTACTATTGTAGTTTCAGATCTACCTAAATATCAAACCGGAAATTTTTCAATCTCGTTGGAGCCTGGGAGGATATTTTGGCCTAGTTGCCTGTATAAAAGCCAAGCATTGTTGATATAAATATCTGTCAACTGAACGAATATTCCCATGTACCTGCGCCGGGTTGTGAAGGGAGTCTTGTATAAAGAGATAAGTATATCCATCCGCCAGGTTCAACCCTATATGATTATTATATTTCTTCACGATCTGCGGGCAGTCTACATCTTTTTTATTATGCGATTCCTTGCAATACCTTTTAATTTTATGAACTGGTTGGCTCCGATAAGAACTTATTAGGGTGACCTGTTTGTTATCATTCCAACGGACAACAGATAAACGGTTTTTGTTGCAACCTACTTCGCCATAACTGCCCCGAGGCTTTCTTTTCAAAACCTTTTCCGTCGATAAAATAATCTCTGTGCCTCTAAGTCTGTAGTTCCGTATTGTTCCTAGACCAAATATCCCGTAATTTTCTCTCAATGTATACAATATTTCGGGACTAGAAAAAAATTGTCGCAGTAAATAATAGAGTTCATAATTGTGCTCCAAATCCCAAAGTATATTACTCTTCGGTAAATTGGAATATGGAACCGCAACGTGTCTTCGCCCACATATAATAAAAAAATCATATGCCTGAGACACCGGCTGTTACGTAGTTTTTGAAGCCCCATTTATTGGGCTTGTCTTTCATGTATTTAGTCAATACTGAATTGTTGTTAATTTTATTGGCCTAAACAATTATCCCTATTCTTTTGGACAACCGGACGAATTTTGTCATACCTCTCAGCGTCTTGCATGTTATTGTCGACTAAATGCAAGTACATTCGAATCTGTTGGTATCTTTTCAGAGTTATCAAATCGGCCACTAAAGAAAATCTGAAGCGTTGACTACACTAATCAACACTAGCGGGCATCTGTACAATTCCCGTCATTATCTCAATGGCTAGGTATTCGCGAAATTCATCCTCAGTTAGAGCTATTGATCAGCCAGTATTACATACAGAATACGTATTTGTTTGTAACACAATATCAATTATAATATCCTCAGAAAAAGAGAAATAAATATTCTAACGGCGATATGATGGCTTGATGCTTATTATTTTGATACTAATAATTATTAATAGTAATAATTAATAAATTGACACAGTTCTCCACAACGTGCTCCTCCATAAATTAGAAATGTATGGCTTCGCTGGCCCTATTCTGCATTGGATATAATCATATTTAAGCGATAGATCCTTTTATGTGGTAGTCAATGGGTACCAATCTAACTTACACTCCATTTCCTCTGGCGTACCGCAAGGCTCGCATTTGGGCCCAATACTATTTAATATATTTATTAATGATCTGCCTGATCACTTTCTTTATTCTTCACCACATATGTTCGCTGACGACCTGAAATTGTCTAAAGTCATAAATAATGAGAGCGATATTATGACGCTTCAAAAGGATTTAGACATCTTCAATTCTTGGTGCGTTAAAAATGGACTTAAATTGAATGCCAAAAAATGTACACACATAAAATTCACTATAAAACTTAACAAAATTTCATCTTCATACACAATAGCAGGCAACATACTTAAGGAGACAGACATCATGCGTGATTTAGGCGTTTTATTGGACACAAAACTTACATTCATACCACATATGGAACAAACGATCGGCAGGGCATCGAGAATAGTGGGTTTTGTTATAAGAAATAGTAAGGAATTCCGAGACATTAAAACAAAAAAAATCCTCTATTGTAGTCTGGTCAGAAGTGTACTGGAGTATGGTAGTGTAATCTGGCGGCCGCACTACGCTACTCACTCATTGAGAATAGAACGGGTACAAAAGCGCTTTCTTCGGGTCTGTCGTATTCTTCGGATATGCGAGGCAGGCATATCAGTTACGAGACCCGTCTTAAGCGCTTTAACATGACCAGTTTATCCAAACTAAGAGAGGCTTTAGATTTGTTATTTTTATTTAAATTACTCCACAATATCATAGACTGCTCAGAACTTTTACAAAAGATTAATTTTAGAGTTCCCTTCAGGCCTCCACGAAAACCTATTACACCACTCAGTCCTACATTACGACGAACTGTTTTGGGATCACATTCGCCAATTTGTAGGATGATCAGACTTTTTAACCAAATTGGCGATCCCGTCGACATTAACCATGTTTCATTGGGAAAGTTTCGAAAGGCTGTCTATATGATAGGTACCTCAGATTATAAACATTTGCCTTGTTAAATACTTTTTTCCTTTCTTTAATTTTTTTTTCTTTTTAAATATTGTAAATCCATACCTTGCCGCTCTGTTTTTGGTCAGTTTGTTTTAATGCATTTTATAATAGCAATACAGTGTTTTTATTCAATAAGTATAAATTCGTCTTGTAAGTGTCTGATAAAAGTTATGCATGTGGTGTTTACCAGTAATTGACTGTGTACTTAGTTTTTTTTTTACTATATCGCTTGATTTATATGGAAAGATGTTAGTGCATAAGTTGTTGGTAAACCAATTTAAATAAAATAAAATAGTCCAAAATAAATTATTACCTATTTGTATATATCAACCCATTTCAACGCGTGTGTCTTAACAGGTATCTACGAGAAATACTAGAATATGGCCTAGCGTCACATTTATGCCCGACGTAAAATATTCAAAACGACGAAGGTCAGAAAAAGAGAAATGAATATTCTAACGGAGATATGATGGCTTGAGAAATCTGGTGATGTGTGGTGTCTTCTAATATAGCTGTATGACAAAAGAAATCTTTCCGCCATTCCTAATTCAGGGTCCGCCGTCAACTTGGCGGTATACATGGTATTTTGGATCTAGTTTTCCTATTGTAAGTAGAAGTAAGTGGAGTTGTAGGAGTTGAAATACTTGCAGGCGATGCGTAAGTGACCGAGGGTAGCGACGGTAAATCGAATAAAATTGGTACATTGCTGCAATTGGGTTCTTGTGTCGGGCTGGGACAAATTTCATGGATTATAGGTGTTAAACGGAAGCAATAACTTTGATCATTGTCGCTTTCCTCTTCATAGTATGTTATGCATCTTTCTAGAGAACTATCAATAGAGGGAGGTGGCGAAGAAGAACAATATGAGGCATGCGTTTCGATGTGTTCGGTATCAGACTTTTCGCTACACTCAGAAGGAGCTTTTTTAGCAGACACAAGTGCAATTATTCTACCAACACGTGTTAGTAGCTTTTGTTTGTAAATAAAAACAAAACACAGGCATATACAAGCAAGCCACACAAACAAACAAAAAAACACAAATTGGCAATGTATTTTACAACATACAAATGAAAACATAAATACTTTACAATGAACTTGGCAGTGTATAAAGTGACATAAAAACAAATTTAGTGATAACTTTCTATGAAAGTGACAGTGTATATGGTGAAATACAAAAATTATTATTTATTATGCATTATTATTTATTAACATATGAAGTACAAAATAACACGGTAACACCCATAAAACACAGTAAATATAGAAAGAAAACAAAGGATTCTTATCTTGCTGAACGTCAGTTGTTTCTTCATCGCTGACATTTTTATTTTATAATGTCAAAAATGTTAATGAATTATTTTTACCAAATTTTAAAAAATGTTGCCGACGAAATAATTGCAGAGAACCCTATATAAAGTTGTATATAAGAACATAGATTTTATTGAATATTGTGACATAAAGTGTCAATTTAAGGGTTAAACACTTATTTTTAAAATTTCATATTTATACGTAAGCACTAAATGACGTCACTTGTATGGCAGAATAGCGATGTCTTTGAGAATGTAAATAGCAGTAGTTCCTAAAGTTTACTAGGCTCCGACCCACCTAACAAAAACTATTAAATTCGGGATCCACCTCATTGCCCACTTAAAAAGAGGGCATTAGTAATGCTCAGATTCCCTAGTAGCGAGAGGCGGAACTACTTAATGGTGTCTTTTTTGTTCGGGCTGTTTATTTTTGTTTGTTTTAAAGTATTTTTTTATTTAAAATTAATTTGTTATCATCACAGACGACATATGCATTGTACTTTAGCTCATAAACAGTCACTATTGAAATTTAAGCGTCACCAATATGAATGAAGGACTTTTTAAATAAGAAAAACAACTTTAGGTTAGAATTTTTCATTACTTAAATACCTATAATTACTGTTATTTTAATGAGAAGAGTTCATTTGTTTCCTAATTTTGTCATACAGCTTTAGCATCAGTAACTATTAATCGCAGTGAGTTTGATACGTCCAATTTATTTCGGTATTTAGTTTTAATGCTGATTATGGTCGAAAATCCGACCTCACTTAGGTACTGAAGGGGAGAAGGACTTTTATAGCTTCGTCAAACGGGCAAGGGTAGTCCCGAGCAACTTAGAGCCTGATTTTCATTAACTGCTTGCGATTGAAACTGCCTTTTAGTGACGTAATTTCAGATAAATCAATGAGTTCTTCACTTGCTTTTGTTGACAAGATTATACCAAATGGTATGATGCTTTCCTGTTCTAGCGATCTTTAAACCTTAGATGCATAATCACTTAATTGTGTGGTTTGGTTTAAAATGGTCAAATCCATATTACTACAATTGTACGATTTGTATTTTTTAATATGGCAACCTTTAACCAAATTTTTTGTTTTGGATATGGCTAATGATATAGCAAAATGGGACTGACGAAGTTATTCCTTTTGGCTGTTTATGCGCCGGTAGCTTCGTCTGAGTTTCTGCTGAAATGGTCAAGTACGGTGGGCCTCGCGTCTGGGACAGCTTACATCTGCTGTGCAATTTGTGCTGGCGGACGGGAGATGTCCCGGATGATTGGCGATCCGCGGTCATTGTGCCTTTATATAAAGGTAAAGGTTCACATTTTGACTGCGGGTGCTATCGGGCGATCAGCTTGACCAGTTTAGCAAGTAAAGTTTACTCGAAGGTTTTGACACGTAGGATGCAAGAGAAATCGGAAAGATTCTTATGGGAGGCACAATGCGGATTTAGACCTGGAAGAGGATGCACGGATCAAATGTTTTCTCTCCGCATGATCACGGAGAAGCTTATGAGTGTTAACCAGAGGATTTTCTGTGCTTTTGTGGATCTGGAGAAAGCATTTGATAAGGTTATAAGGAAGAAAATGTGGGAACTGTTGCCGGGATATGGTGTGGATGGTCGATTGTTAAGGGCTGTGCAGTCACTTTACTATGACTGTAAAGCCTGTGTGCGGGTAGGGCATGACCTGTCACCCATGTTTAGCGTCCAAGCGGGCGTAAAACAGGGTTGTGTCATGTCTTCCTGGCTGTTCATACTGTATCTCGACAGATGTTTACAGAAGCTGAAAAATAGCTGTTTGGGTGTGAAATTGGGTGACATAAAAGTTAATTGTCTGCTGTATGCTGATCATCAGGAATGTCTAGAACAGGTAAATGAAATTGTATACTTGGGGAGTGCTTTCAGCCGGGATGGAAGATGTGATTTAGATGTGGATAGGCGTGTCGCTGCCGGAAACAAAGTCAATGGTGCGTCAATGGAATTCTACTTGAGCACATTAGGAGAAACAAAATGGGGCGGGTTAACTAACAAACAAAATGCTCAATAGGAGCAAAATTACAGGAAAACACACTTATCGGGGTGTGATTCTGATGCGGCGGACGACGCTTCCGTTGCGGTGATGCGACGTGAGGTGGGTTCTTCTGGGGCGCCTCAGAGATGCGATCCAGGCCAGTGGTATGAAGGAAGAGGCCGCTCGAGGTTTTTTTTTTGCGCCCGAAGCAAATATGGGCAACCCTCCGGAAAGCGGGGGAGGGAGGTTGGGAATGCTCAGACCACGCGCCGGCTGCGTGGTTATGTGGTGACTTTTACCCACTAAACCCAACCTTTTAGGAATTGGCTTAACGATCTGACTAGAGATCTCTAAGCCGTATACGAACGCGACCCTCCTTGGCAGAAAGGAGGGCGCAGCCGCTCGAGGGCCGCGCGCGAGCCTTTATTGCCTCGGCTTTCCCACCAAGCACCTCGGTCGGGCGCGCTTCTCATTGGTCGAAAGAATCGCGTCACCTTCTAGACTCCCCCCTTTACCCTTTCAGTGTGTACGGAAGGGACATTAGGTCAAGGGATGGATAAACACTTGGCAAATATACTCTCGAACAAATTAAAATATACGAATCGTTTCCGCGTAACCAATTATAAATCGACTTAAGTATACGCTTTTAAAAAACTATCTCAAAAATAAATTTGAAATTGTTTTCCAGAATAATAAGTTAAATTTTACAGGTACAGAATTTTATGCATTATTGAGTAACAAACAATCATCAAAACTTTCACATTATTAAAAAGTTTGGATTACTCAATAATGCCTAAAACTGCTGGAATGATGGATTAAGTTCGAAATATTTTCCTAACATAATGTGAAAGTTTGGATAACTCGATTATGCCTAAACTGCGGGGCCAATATTGATGAAATTTTAAAGTTATTTAAAGAACGTGTAAGTGAGTTATTGTATCTTCTGGCAGCTTCGCATATAAACTATCACATGTGGATAATCTTGTATTGCTTCACAATGTTCCGGTTAATGTTCATGTTGTAAAGTATCTAGTCGGCTCAGAACATCTTTGAAATATGTTAAATCAGGTATTTCTTCCCAATTCTTGCCATAATGCGTAGTGAGTACAGTTTTTACATCACGAAGTTTTTTACTCTTCACTTTTAAGAGGGGTGCTGGTTCTGGGTTTGTCTGACTGACAGATTTTCCTTTTTTGCAAATAGTTTTGAAATCCGATAGTTGATTGTGATAGCTAATTTCTCCTCTTACTAAAGCATTTGTTTTTTGCTTATTTCGTTTTAGAAAAATATTTTACGTTGCTGTATAGAAAAATGCATTGCATTGGTTGTCTTAAAAACTTTCGCACCTGCCTCCTTCTACTGAAGGGCATCAACTAGAGTTCCCAAATGCAGTACAATCGCATGCTCTTTAAAAATTCGTTCATAAGCTTCTGGGTTATTAACCTCTTCAATTTTCTTATTTTTTTTTTCTATTTGTGCAAACATTATCCGGTGGAAGAAAAGAGTGTACTTCTACTGGAAATACGATCTCAATGGTCTTGATTCGTTGCAGGTGCGTGGTCCAATAGATATTTGCAGGCCATCCCTAGAACAGTGGTATTTTTATTTTGTCCACTACACCCATCACAAACCAGTTCAATAGTGGTAGCTAGTAAAATTACAAAATTTGAGTTATTTTCCTTCAACAAATTATAAAAAGCTTTTGCTCTGACATTATGAACCCTTTTATTAATCATTAGTATCTTTCCTTTTGTCTTCGTTCTTTTCGTGTTTAATTTGTTCTTGATATTGCAGGCATGTCGAGCAAACATCAGTACGAGGACTTCCAAATCCTATATTAAAACAAGTATTAAGGATCCTTCGAAAATATGAAGCTTTAACGTTCACAAATTCTGGTGCAGCTTGATATTTGTACATTCTATACATTTTGGCAATGGATAGGTCGGACGATATGTATTGCTTGCATTTTATGCTTCCTCTGCAATAGTGAATTTGTTTATAAACTCTAATAGATTTTCTCTATTCCAAAAAAATTTTTTTTCGATCTCCACCTCTATTTTCTTGAGCTGTTGAACCTATGTCTTTGAAATTGCGATGTATATCACAATTTACCCGTCCTTTCTTCAGTCCTAAAATGTGAAGAAACGTTCTACGACAAATGGGTATCATATTATTCCTTCCCGTGCGTAATACACGACATTAAATGCTTTTTTTAGCTCTGGTGTCGGTGTTAGGGCGACGACGGCTGACTGACGATGATTTCGTATGTTGCAAAATGAAATTATCCTGATCTATTTTTGATTTTGTTCGGTAAAAGGCAGAATGAAATGCAATAATATAATTTTTTCTAAGCGATGTGCACGTGTATGCCTAGGAATAATGAGCAGGTACTTTGATATTTGGTGGAGCTTTTGGAGAGTATCTGAAATAAAAATGTTTAATAAGCAAAGCACTGATATATAAATATGCGAAACCAATGAGTTTAGTTAATTATTATTATGTGTAGTAGGTACTACAAGACAATATTGTAAAACAACCAGACACCATTACTACATGTACCATATGTTAAGTAAATTTAAAACGTTGCATCACTTCAGTCAAATATTCACAAATCACACATTCAACGCAAACCCAAACAACCCAGGTTATAAAATGTTGAACTCAACAAATGCGTGGCGACACGAAGTTCCAAGTTTACTTACCGAGAAAGTTTTTGCGCGTTACGCTTCCACTTGTTTGGATGTAGTAACTGTTTCCTTGATAAATTATCTTGAGTTTCCTGTATATCTTGAGTTTCCTGTATATCTTGAGGATTTTCATCCATTTTCAATAATTTTATTTAATTAAAAACGCAGAGAAACATAACAAACACGGCCACTGACAGAAAATCAACATGGCCGTTGGTCCCATACTGAGTACTAAATCCTGATTGGTCGAAATGGATTTGTCTAAATTTGATAATGAACTGTCAGAGATTTAACCATTATTGATGCCAAAGCCACTTTTGGAAGTAGATTACAGAAACAAAGGCGTAGCTTTAGCCAGTTTAGAATTTTAAGTGTTTCTTTTTGCATAGTGAATCTCGCTGCATTGTCAGTAAAAAAACATTGAAATCAAACCGCTCACATTGTATAGAAAACATATTGTATTGTAGAAAAATAAGCCTATATAAAGGAAAAAATAGTAAAAAAATATTTATTACTAATAATTTTTTGTTACATAAAAACTCCACTGTAGTCATTTTCAATTCCCACTCGGTATTTTATAGCTTTGAGGTAATCTTCACACCACCCGAACAAATTTGTATTTCCCAATTGCGTCTCGATTAACAGGAAAAATTCCAGTTCTTTTGAATCCTTTTTCGAAAATCACTGAATTCAAAATCCCAAATTTCCGTTATTATTCTTACAAATTCTGCTTTTGGTATTTTTGAACCAACATGTAAGCGCTGCCACTCCTGTAGAGTCGAGCAGCCTACACATGTGTACCAGACAAAAACATCTTACGCTCGCTCGATCAAGATACACATGTGTACCACAAGTACTACCCTTTGAAGAAGAATTTTTTTAATTGAAACAAAACCAAAGACATTATGCAATAGATAATAGTATCAAAGACAAAGATATGCTCTTTTATTTTAAACCATAATCTGGCAATGTTTTTTAGAAAAAAAAAAAAATCACTCTGAAATTTCGGCGTTCCACGTGTCGCTTTGATGAAGGTGCTCCGTCTTTTTTATAGAATTTTATATTTGTGTCTGGACTAAAAACGAAAGTATTATACTTTTTTATATTCCTTGTAATATAGTATACACGTAGATATATAATTTGTGGTATAAAAAGTGAAAAGTAAGTTGCCAAAATTACTTCGAAATACGGAACGCCCATTTTGGCGGTTGGGTCATAAATGTGTTATTTTTCCAATTCTCATTTATTTTTAGTGTAAAATGTAAGTAAAAATAGTTTTCTTATATATTTCAAATAACTTGACGTTGTATTTATTTCAAATTCACACAAAAATTGAAATATTGTTCGAAATGTCATACAGATAAATATTATTATAATTTTTTTAATTTTTTAATATTTTAATATTTTGGTATGAGTAACGAATAGAAACAAATAAAACGTAAAAATATACATATTTCCAAACATTTTCATATAAATTTCTCCAAAAACAAAAGTGTAGAAATCAAATTAGTAGTAATTTTGGCACTAAAAGTGAAGTATATATTACTACTATGCTATAAAGGTAATTTATGAATTTTATTATAATTTCTAGCAACAAAAAAATAATTTTATTCGATAGTTTATACATTCAACAAGAAATCCTGTAAGTTTTATCCATAAATATTGTCTCAAAGTGAAAATATAGCAAAATTTGCTAATTTGCAAATTTTCCCGCCATTACGGTCCCGAGCGAACGGGAGTATAACATGTCGCGCGCTGTCAGAGCTTACAGGTAACAAGTTCATCTTGGCTGAGCTGGGCCGCTTGTCGTCCTAGTTGATTGGAATCCATTTTTGATGGATCCGAGCAAAAACTCGTCTCATCTAAGTTATAAATTTGTTTGGGTTTGTTGCCAAGTTCTAACTCCCGAGTAACTTTTTCAAGCAAATCAAAATACTCATATATAACAAACGGTTGCATGCCTTCTTCCATGCAATTTCCACAGATTGTGATTTTTGTATGAGAGCTTATGCCGCTTGCGAAAAGCTAAGAATCATTCTTTCCCTGGTACGTCATTTCTGAAGGGAGTTACTATACCGTTTCTACGGATATATTCCGAAATCATAGCAATTATTTCTTTTTTTGGTCAGTGGATATCCACATTTTTCGAGGATATGAATATACGAAGCTATTTTTTTCTTCGATTTCAGTAGAAAATACTCCTCCATTCTCCACTTATCAAAACTCCATTTATCAAAACTCACGATTCCACTTGTTCACAAGTTACACTTTATATTTGTGTATTTGTATTTGACTCATGCCAATGTCTAAGAATCGCTTTGTGCCAGACCTGAACGAAGGCATTCACTATGTCCAAACTAACGGCCAATGCCTCCCCCTTGGACTGTACTGCCTCAGCTCATCTACGATTCAAGTAAACTAGAAGATCACCAGCTGATCGACCTCGATGAAAACCGTATTGGCGGTCACTAATCAGCTGGTGATCCTCAAGGTACCTCATGAGCTGGCAGCTTACAATGGATTCCATTATTTTGGAGAACAAGGAGGCGAAGGCGATAGGCCTGTAGTTGGACGGGTCTGAGCAGTCGTGTTTTTTAGGGTCGGGTGGAGCAAAGCTGTCTTTGCTTGAATTCGGGACTACGCCTTGGAAGTAGGAGTACCGGAAAAGACGCGTTATAATTGGTGCCAACTCCTGTGCACACGTCTTCAGCACAAGGGGAGGGACTCCATCAGGCCTAATTGACTTGTTAACGTCCTGGGAGAGGGCTGGTTTGCGAGCGCGACCGAGCACTGTGTAAATTGCATATCCGCCATGGAGCACTCCCACCGCGGGATGGTCAGCGGTGTGTTCCCCCCGAAAACGAGAGTCGAGTTGGACGCAAAGAGAGAGCCAGTGAGTCATCCTCTCTGTGCAGAGATGGCAAAAATTCCCTTGAACAGTCTTGGCAAGTGACCATAATGCAGGAGTTCCCGAAGGAAGGCGAACTACCGCCCCCAAGGGTAGAAAGGCGGCAGCCTGCAGAATGCAACTACGACGTTAGTGTGAGTGGCACTACATTCCGGACAAGACAATGGTTCGAGGAGGCAAGAGGGGCTTCGACGGCAAACTGATATCCGTCCAGATGAGAGGTCAGCAGAAGGTCCAACAGGTGTATGATCTTCTACATCTACAATCCCCGTAGGCGAAGTAACCAGCTGTGTAAGACCATATGCCAAGGCAAACTCATAAACAGATCTTTCCGTATGATCGATTACACGTGAACCGAGCCATTCGGCGTGGTGTGCGTTAAAATCACCAAGGATAACGATCTGCTGTAGCAAGGAATCTGTAGTCATTTGGACGTGGTCCATGAGTCGCTCTGTTTCGGCATTACCGCTATGGGGCCTACAGAGGTACCCGTAGACGCGTAGATCGCTGTCGCAGTCTCCGCGCAGTGGTAGAATGGACAGGTACGTATCTTCAAGACTGCCGTGGCGTTAAAAATAAATGTCCTCTCTGACGTATTCGCAAACTCGGGCACAAAGGAGTGTTGTGTTGTGAAGAAAACTTTTATTTCACGTTGGTATTCTGTGAGGTCGTGGTACCACCCCGATTCTACCGCGTGGCTGTACCACTGTTAAATAAAACAGAAAAGTTAAGATAAAGAATATCGTATTGAAATTTATTCCAGGTGTAGTACACATGTTTTTACAACACAATTATATATGAAATTTGACGTCGTTCATATGGCCACCATGAGCACGACGGCAGTGATGGATTCTTTGGATCTAATTTTAAATCACTCTTTCACACATATCAGCCGGAATGCTGGCAACTTCACGTTCGAGATTGTCCCCGAGCTTCTCTAACGTTGTTAGATTGTGGGCATAAACCTTCGGCTTAAGGTATAAGAAAAAAATTCAATGGTGTCAAATCACGCATGGGTTAACCCGTAAGGTCAGACAGCTCGCGACATGTTATACTCCCGTTCCCTCGGAACCGTAATGGCGGGAAAATTTGCAAATTAGCAAATTTTTTGCTATGATAAAACTTACAGGAATTCTTGTTGAATGTATAAACTATCGAATAAAATTATTTTTGGTTGCTAGAAATTATAATAAAATTCATAAATTACCCTTTATAGCATAGTAGTAGTATATACTTCACTTTTAGTGCCAAAATTACTACTAATTTGAATTCTACACTTTTGTTTTTGGAGAAATTTATATGAAAATGTTTGGAAATATGTATATTTTTACGTTTTATGTATTTCTATTCGTTACTCATACCAAAATATTAAAATATTAAAAAAAATAATAATAATATTTATCTGTATGACATTTCGAACAATATTTCAAAAATATTTTTGTGTGAATTTGAAATAAATACAACGTCGAGTTATTTGAAATATGTAACAAAACTATTTTTACTTACATTTTACACTAAAAATAAATGAGAATTGGAAAAATAACACATTTATGACCCAACCGCCAAAATGGGCGTTCCGTATTTCGAAGTACTTTTGGCAATTTACTTTTCACTTTTTATACCACAAATTATATATCTACGTGTTTACTATATTACAAGGAATATAAAAAAGTACAATACTTTCGTTTTTCGTCCAGACACAAATATAAAATTCTATAAAAAAGACGGAGCACCTTCATCAAAGCGACACGTGGAACGCCGAAAGTTCAGAGTGATTTCTTTTTTTTTTCTAAGAAACATTGTCAGGTTATGGTTTAAAATAAAAGGGCATATCTTTGTCTTTGATACTATTATCTATTGAATAATGACTTTGGTTTTGTTTAAATTAAAAAAAATCTTTTTCAAGGGTAGTACTTGTCGTACACATGTGTATCTCGATCGAGCGAGCGTAGGTGTTTTATGTCTGATACACATGTGTCGCCTGATCGACGCTACAGGGGCGGTAATTCGACTGGATCATTTCTCAAAATTAAACAATTACCATATTTTCCTTTAAATAAATCAATTGTTTGACCAGTGGCGTGGCTTGTGGCACCATCTGGTTGGAACTATATATCGCTAAAGTCAAGTCCATCCAATTCTGGACAACAATATTCTGCCAACATGGCATGATAGGGAACTGCACTGACTGTAGCATAGTGATTATTTTCATCGACGAAAACATCCCAC